TAGGCTACAACAGAAACAGAGCATTGAAAGTGACCGGCTATGGAAAGGCGTTTGTAGCGCCATCTACAGGACACTCCTTGGCACAGAAAGGGACTGAGGTTTCCCATACTGTCCCATAACTTGCTAACTCACAGAAAAATGAAGTGAGTTCATTAAAACAAACATTTTGCTGAAACCATTTCAGCGAACACTCGGTTTTCAAACCTTCTCCTTTTTGAATTTGTTGGCTCACAATTGGCATGTTGCTGTTACTCCTGGCATGGCAATGATTTTCTGACAGCATTTACAATCATGTTCATTTATTCCCACACACCTATTTCAAGCCTACCGGCGCAGGGCTAGGTTGACAGACTAATTCCTAAGGTTTCCTCTGGGGGGGGTGGTCATGCTGGGAATGCATCCGGGGCCTGGGATGCCCCTCTTTGGAATAGCAGGTGAACGGTGAAATGTCTGTGCACTGCTCACAGTTCCCCAGAGCTTTTTTGGTGTCTGTTTCTGCAAAACCTTTTCAAACGTCTAACTCAGGCAGCCTCTTCCGATTCCTGACAGCTTTCTTTCTGCATTAGAGAGTCCGCTTTCTTTCCTTTTTTGACCACTTCTCACAGCATGCAACTGCAGAGCCCTATTTCCATGCTCTGTGCTAACCTATTGCAGGCTGCTGGAGTTGAATCTTTGAACCTAAGACTAGAGGGGAGTCCTCTGAGCTCTTTAAGTTTGATTACCCTGTAAGGTTAATTTCCATACTGATTTTACAGAGATGATTTTTACCTTTTTCTTTAATTAAAAGCCTTCTTTTTAAGAACCAAGGAGTTTGGATCTTGATTCACCAGGAGTTGGTGGGAGGAAGGAGGGAAATGGTTAATTTCTCCTTGTTTTAGATCCAAGGGGGTTGGATCTGTATTCACCAGGGAATTGCTGAAAGGTTTCTCAAGGCTACCCAGGGGAGGAAATTAGCCTTGGGATGGTGGTTAAGCGTAGAGGTATCCAGGCAGGCCCCTACATTTGTACCCTAAAGTTCAAAGTGGGGATGCATCCGAAGAAGTGGGCTGTAGTCCACGAAAGCTTATGCTCTAATAAATTTGTTAGTCTCTAAGGTGCCACAAGTACTCCTGTTCTTTTTGCGGAGTTGAATCAGCAGGCTTTCTAGCTCCAGGTCCCCAGACTTCTTACAGCCTGAACATATGTCCTACTGTGTAGTCAAAGATTGTGGAGAAGGGTCATTTAAGGGTGAGTATCCAAACGTATATTTTATCAGCTTGCCTCGCCTTCCATTAGGCCTGTAGCCAAGTGTTACTAACATAGCCACATACCAATCGCAGTGCCTGGACAATATTTAAAACAGTATTATCCAAGTGACAGAAACTGGCACCACAAACTTAGATTGGAAAATGGCAGTTTCATTATTTTCTATAGCAATACACACTTCTTGTGACAGACAGCCCAATTATTCCATCTTCCCCTTTTCTCTTGTGCATAACGTCCCCGTCACAACTTCCCTAAGAGCTATGGGGCATCAGCCCAGTACAGGATCAGACTTTAAATGTAGACACACAGCACCAGTGGTCGAAAAACTCCATATCAAGCAAAGCCTTTGATATCCTTTTCCACCCTACAATTATTCTCTACCCAGAGAAGTAAATACACTCCCCTTTTATTTTCCTGCAAATGCCCCACACCTTATCATTAGAGTTTGCCTCACTCTCTCATATCCAACCTTCCAACACTATTAAACACAGTTTGTGGCTGTGCAACTCCCGAGCTGCACTGCATAATGGGAACAGAGGGTCCTGTGGCACCTTTGAGACTAACAGAAGTATTGGGAGCATAAGCTTTTGTGGATAAGAACCTCACTTCTTCAGATGCAAGTAGCACCTCACCCTCCCTGATTGAACTAACCTCGTTATCTCCATACGGATTTATACCTGCCTCTGGAGATTTCCATTACTTGCATCTGAAGAAGTGAGGTTCTTACCCACGAAAGCTTATGCTCCCAATACTTCTGTTAGTCTCAAAGGTGCCACAGGACCCTCTGTTGCTTTTTACAGATTCAGACTAACACGGCTACCCCTCTGATACTTGCATAATGGGAGTCCTCCGTGCAAAGCTACTTCCCAGGAAAAAGGGTTAGATGTTCACTCATCTATTTTAAAAGAAGAAAATGACCATATCCCAGAAATGTAACACGTGACATGAAAACAATCAGAAATGCTTTTGAAGTTTACATGTCTGATTTTTTCCATGATCTGTAATTACTTTATTTCTTTCAGATTTACAACCAGGGTCCCACAGGCTCAGAGTTTTGTCTTGTTACATGCAGGGTCTGGTCTGTTAAGGTCCCCTTTTTAGTTAAGCATTTTTCTCACTGCAGTACAAGCGATGGGCCGAATCCCGTGGGGGAATGCTCCAAATCCCCATTGAAAGCATTCCCTCCATACAGAACTGGGCCCTCCAGTGCTCACCCGGACTCTCAAGGTCTGGAACAAGCTCTACCCATTCCTATCCTTTGCCAGAACACATTTGCTATGAACACAACTGAAGGGAGCCCTGGGACAGAAAAAATACAAACTCTTATTTTAGTGAAACTGGAAAAGTCATGTGAGCTGCTCAACATGTTGGATCATCAATCAGCACATGACCCATATTTTTAGTCTCAGACAAAACCGAGTATCTGATACGCTGGGTTACCACGATTGCAAATCAGGTAATCAGGATACAAATGACTAGTCACTGACTCTCTGTCTGTGTATCTAGGTTCTTGTATTGGCATCCATCAGTGTAGTACACCTCTACCTCGATAGAACGCTGTCCTTGGGAGCCAAAAAATCTTACCGCGTTATAGGTGAAACCGCGTTATATCGAACTTGCTTTGATCCACCAGAGTGCGCAGCCCCCCCACCCCCCGGAGCGCTGCTTTACCGCGTTATATCCAAATTCACGTTATATCGGGTCGTGTTATATCGAGGTAGTGGTGTATCTAAGAGCAGCTGATAGTACATTTCAGAAACGTGTCCTGGATGAGCAATATGCCCTCGCTAGTGAATTACTGTGTTGTGAATCAATATATTACAAATTTACATAGGATTGGAAGGGACCTCCTGGGTCACCATGTCCAGGCCTGTACTTTTCCAGGCAGCCCCCTCATAGAATTCCCTTCTGAAATTTATCAAGCTCCATCTTCAAACTAGTTCGTTTGTTTGCCTGTGTTAGGGCTAATGGGAGGCTGTTCCAAAACGTCATTCCTCCGATAGCTGGGAACCATCTCATTTCCAGCCTTGATTTCGTCATGGCAAACCGTTCTCCCTTGTGCACCACTAGCTTGCCTGTTCGTCCTACAAGCTGGCATTCACTGCTGACCAGAGAGAGTCAAAGTACCCCAAAAGCTATGTTGATATGAATACATCTCATTAATTACATGCGACTGAAACAGCTAAAATGTCTTCTGGTCTCACTGTTCAAGTGTCAGAAATATAGTCCCCTCTCTAAAGCAGAGTCAACTATGCACAACTCTAGAACCAATGAAAAGACTAGCAAGGGCAGACAACCAAGTCCCATTTCCCTCTGCTCCCATAGCAAGACCCCTGTGGCCTCTGGGACGCTGCCAGTGGTGCTAGTAGAAATCATTTCTTCCTGGAACTCGACTCATGGGAGGGACATGGGGGGGGACGGGACATGACCTCCCCATGTGGCCTCCCCATGTTACTCCTCCCCATCCCACCCCCAGCCCGGGGCCCCCACCCTCTCCCTCTAGTGGCCCCCTTCATGTTTATATATATATATATAAACATCAGCGTGCTTAACTACTCACTTTCCCCCCAAATATGTAGTATTCAGTCTGTTTATATGGAATAGAGGAGTTGGGTGAGGAGCCATTTCAGCATATGTATGACTTATTAAAAGACAAATTTTAAGTAGAACTGTATCCTAAACTGCTTTATGGTATTGTACCCAAACACTGCATTTCAATGGGGGATTCAACTTCCTTAATAGGAGCAGACTCCTGAAACACGTACAAGTCCACAAGAGTGGCCCACTGTCTTCAACGGGATTGATCAAATGATTAAGGGTTTACAGGATTAGGTTCCAAGTTTGTAAATTGTTCTGGATGAAACTGACAATGCCTGAGCTGTCAGATCAGAAGAAGCTTCATTTGAATAAAGGTGGGCAGATGTCTGATAAGTCTTAGCTCCGTTGCTAAGATGAGGAACATATTTTCAGCAAAGTTCTTGGCAGATTCCTGAGGCAGCTGGTTTAAGGCCGTCAGTGTCCGGCATTATAATCTTCACTTATAGTTCTCTCACCCACAAAGCTGGAAAATGAGGCATTTGTTTTCTTCGTTTTGCTGCTTCGGTGCCAGTTAACAAAATGGGAGAGCTCTCCCAGTGCTGTAAAAAAAAAAAACCCAACCCCATGAGGGGAATAGCTACCAGCACTGGGAGCGCTATCTACACTGCCACTTTGCAGCTCTGAAACCTGCATCTCTCAGGGGAGGGGTGTTTTTTCACACCCCTGAGTGAGGAAAGTTTCAGAGCTGTAAGTGGCAGTGTAGACAAGCCGTTAGACTAGTTTGGCTGCAGAGAAGAATTCTACGTACACTGGGGACAAGACCGGATTCCCATGAGGCTGCAGAACTGGGCCAACATCGGAATCCAAACATCCTCTGGTCAGTGCAAGCAGAGGCATTCCTCTAATGATTTGGACTTGATGTGATGCAGTATGGATGTCACGGATAATTCAGACCAATGGGGAGAAACAGAATAAAAACACTGTTTAAAGACCTTCCGTCCCCCCCATGCCTCCGCTCTTGAAGACTCCTGACCAACGTAACAGCACAATACATAGGCTAACAAACTTAAACAAAGCCTTTGTTAGCCTATGTATTGTGCTGTTAAAGCCATATAAAGAATGAACATCCTCCCTAGCTGTGTTCTGCTCCTTTAAGGAGCAGAGTGCAGCCCCTCCCCCCAGTCTTTCCGGTACCCGTACCTACTAACAATCTCTTGCCGGTACTGTGCACTGGAGGGTACCACCCTATTTGCACTCCTGGACGCTGCACTCATTTGAATAAGGGAAACAGTAACAAGCAGCCAGAAAGTGGCGTATGAAGGGTGGTGAGGTGCACACGCAGGTGAGTGCTGCATGCAGTCGCGAGGATAGAGAGTTCTTTGTAAAAGTTATGACCTCTCTCCCCAAAAACAGAGACACAAACTTTCTCACGGTTTGTCCAATTCCCTTTAACACAACTTCCCCTTGTCCGTGCCTCATGTTACTCCCCATTGAGTTCCATGGGAGCAACATGCACCTAAGGGCTTCAAGGTCCTGGTCCAAATTTGGCTTTGAAGCCTGAATACAGAGAAGCGTCTCCCTGCTTATCCTGCAAACTCAGCAAAGCATATGTCCACACATGCCGAGTAGATTTTTTACAAAACACACTACATACAGTGCACACCCACATCTCCAAGGGCAGGAGCCAGCCGTTCTTTTGCTGTTAAGTTTACACAGGAATATTTCAGCCTGACAGTTTAACTTCCAGTTTTTCAAGATGGGTTTCTGTAAATGAGAAGCCCTGACATTCCCCGATAGAATCACCTCTCTTCTACAAGGGCGTGCTTTTATTCAGGGAAATATGGGCGTAGGGTAAACAGGTCTGCCTGAAGCACAACCTTTCATTGTAGAGTTTCTATAGTTACATTTATTAGCACTGGCTGCATGGCAGACACAATCAGAGTTAAAATACAACAGTGCACACAGGATGATTTAAATTCAAAAGAAATATTTTAGCTGTTAATTATTAACTTTTATGATTTACTCTGTACAGCACAAGAGAGAATTGTTAAACTATAAAACCAGTGCCATCCCGCATAATCACCACTAAAGGTAACAACATAAGAAATGCCAAAACCTTGTAGGCAGAACGGTGAGGAATTTAAAATAGGTTTGTTATATCATTTATTACTTGTTTAGGGCCAAACACAGCAAAGCATTTAAACACAAAGAAAAAGTTGTAAGTGTTTGCTTAAGTCCCATTGAAGTCACTTTCAAGCAGACTTAAGCATGTGCTTAGGTGCTTTGTTGAATCCAGGGTGATCAGATTTCTACTGCACCCCAGAGATGGCTGCATTTCAGTGGCGTATATGTCTGCTTGTAAAGTGTTTTGGAATAACAGCGCAAATGGTATTATACACTTAAGATATTATTGTTACAGTATGCATGCACGAAGGAAGCAACTTCTTAAAATAAATGAATTGTTCTTATGACACAAAATACATACTAATTTTCCATTGTTTGTTCGTGTTCTCTCTCTCTCTCTCTCTCTCTCTCTCTCTCTCTCTCTCTCTATATATATATATATATATATATATATATATATATATATATAG